GGACGACTCTATTTTGTTTTATTATATTTAATCATTCATTAAACTTATAAAATAATTTTAGCAAATAAATATCAGTGAAAACAAAAAAGATTTGTAAGCATTAGAGATCGAGTATTTATGGGGTGCCAGAAATTTATTAGGTGCCAGAATTATTTTAAGACATGAAATTAGTTTGGCACTCATTTTCATATCAATTATTATCAAGAAAAAAAAACAAATAAAAAATTAAAACCCGTATTTTTACATCAATCAATCATCTGATTTCTTGGCACCCATTAAGTTTCTGGCACCCATAAAATACTCTATCTGTAAATATTTATCAGGTTGAATTATAAAAAATTAGCTTTTATAATAAATTAATATAAAAATATTTAAAAATATATAATTTTAATGTGAATATTTAATTGGATTACAAAAGCAACAATATCGTCTGAAAATTAAATTGATATATTTACTTTTTTTCTTTTTTGATAAATTTATTATTATTAAAAAACGATAAAGATATTATTGTATTTATTAATTATATTATTTATCTTATCTTGTAAGATTGTTTTTTTAACAACTCTGATTTTTAATATTCACACCTCAAAAATATTTAAATTTAATTTTTAATTCTTTTTGTGAATGAGTTGAAAGTGATCACACCAATAAGTTGTATAATAACAACAAATACGCTTTTGAGAATTGAAAAACGCGAAAATAGACAAGTCAGCAAACTATTATCTTTTCAATTTTTGAGCAACAACCCATTTCATATATTTATTATATCAACAAGTAAATATTTTTGTGATTAATAACATTTTATATTTATAGATATTGAATAATGATGACATTCAATGTTATTGAAATGTACTTGATCATGAATGTGTTTTCAAATATTCATAATAAATCGCCAGATATATTATTATATTCGCGATTTAACTACCAATAACTTTATCGGCTTGAAGATATCCCTTTTGGTATTTTTGGTGTTTCGATTACTGATAGCCTGAAATATTTCAAATATATTTATTCTATATAATATCTTATTTAAACGGATTCTTATTTGTTAATTGGTTTGAGTAATATCTTTGTGCAGAAATATGATAAAAAAATAAAACGGGCATATCAGTCTTTTTAAAAAGACCAAACGACAAATAAATAACACCAATGAAGAAAAAACAGAAAAACGTCTTAAATAAAACTAAAAATAGCACCATGCTTTATTATGGGTTTTAAGTTCTGATTGGCTAAAATAATCACTCTTGATAGAACTCAATTTTTAGATGTACCGCTTTTGGGACATTTAACTGAAACTATGAAAACAAGAAAAAGTTTTTTGAAAAACAGAAACTGTTTTTATTATTTTTGTAATTAAAACTGTTATTTAAAAAATTGTATGAACAACTAAAAAATGCACTTTTTATAGAAATTCAATCACTTTCGTCCATAAAATCGTCATAATTATTATCGTTGACGTTGATAACAATTTTTGGTGTTCTTTTTTCTTTTTTAATGTTTTTTTCTTTTAATGCAACAAAATTAAAAGTCCCTTCTGAGTTTTCGACATTAAACAAAGTAGTTGGACCCGCGTTAACTACAATTGATCTTGATAAATCCACAGTCAAATTCTTAAGTTTCTTCTCTCCAAGATCGAATGTACAATCATCGCATAAAGAAATAATACACCTATCAAAGTTGAATGAACTCAAATCCAATTTTTTATGTTTATATTTTTTATCTCCAACACTCATTTCTTTATTAATTAATGTCATATAAAAAAATGGTATAGTACCTATATAGCTATTAAACTTGACAATGTGTTGTGTGTCATTATAAATTTCAAATTCATCGAGTTTGAGTAAATCGATGTTTTCCACTTGTTTTCCATCACTTCCAATCATTTGAATGAAACAATTCGATCTTTGTAATACCAACTTTTTAAGTGCGTTTTCATAGAGAACAACACTGTGTTCTTTTTGGTTTGAAAATCCGTTTATAGAAAATTCTTGCAGGACGGCGTTGTTCATTTCAATAGTAATAATCTGTTCGTTACTGAATTGGCGTTTTAAATCAACACTTTTGATTTTCTTTGAAAGTTTCAAAGATTTTATATTCCCTCGAATTGAAATTTTTTCAACATTTTCATATTTTTCGCAGTCGAAGTGTTCAATATCAAAACATTTCAATTTTAATTCGGTCAAATAACCAAACTCGATAATTTCTGTGATCTTTTCATCAAAAAATTCTGTGTTGGCGGTAATAGTGTTGGAGACATACACTCCCTTATGCATCAAAATGTGTTCGTCGCCAATTCTGTTTGTGTAAACGGCAATATTTGGACGAGTTTTAATTTTTTGAATAGTATCCAAATACATGTCCAAGTCAACACTACGAAAGTGACAACCCCACCACACACAATAGAAAATTGTGAAATCAACACTGTCAGGAAATGCATTTTGGGAGATCAAAGTGTTGACCATTTCATAGCACTTTGGTGACATTGTTAAATACACTTTTTTGAGTGACGGAAGCTTAAAAATTGCAGTTAATATATCCAATAAACTAAAATTTTTTAATTTGTTATTTTCTTCAATATTTTCAATTGAAATGACTTGAAGTTGTGTGTAGAAATTCACACACTTCGCCATTTTTAAAATTTGTTGTGGGAAAACATGAAGTTTTCGAATTTTGGCAGAAAACCACTGTGTTGCAAAGACGTTATCTTTTGTGTCGTTTTTGATGTTCTTGTCAGTCCAGTGATTGATTTCTATGAGTGGCATTTCTCGAGTATATTTTGCTTTTATGTATTGAAGTGTTGTCTCAACATAAAATGTTTGCATTTGTGGAAAAAATAAAGCAATTTGAGAAAAATTGTGGTATTTTGTGAGTGCATAAGAGTTTACATATAATGAAGTGACTGCTTCTAAACACTTTTTGTTGAGAAACATAAAGTGCATGACATCATTTAAAGTTTTAAAATATAAAACTACGTTCTTAAGAAAGACTTGTTCAAGTGGCATTTGTTTTTAATTTTTTCAAGTTGAGTTTTATATTTATATTTCTATTTGAAAAAACAAAAAATATAGTATTCGATTTATTCAGCTGATATGATTGAATAATTTATAAAAATTATTATTATTAGTGTAAAACCCCAATACAGTAATGGAAAAAAGTTGTCGTGACTGGGATAGATCTATAATTTTGGTATAATAAAATTATTTTTATAAAATTTGACATTTGGAATTATCGAATTATTATCGTTTTTTTCTTTTTTTAACCAATCAAATAAAAGCAATAAATCAAATGTTTTGCTATACCGTATAGTCAAAATATATTGATTTAATTTTCGATTTTTAATACAGCCTTTTTTCACTTCTATATATTATTTTCTATTAGAAAATAATAATAATAAAAAAAACAATTTTTGGGATGTTTAATAAATATTACTATTATTTAAACTATTTTACAATAACAAAAAAAACATAAATAAAATAAAGTCGATTAGCCAATTGTTTTATATTATTAGTTTGTCAATCAATGTTAATGTTAATATTTGAATTTCTCTAAAACAACAAAAAATCACATAATCTGACCGTGTTTATAAAAACAATTTTGTTTTGTTTTTTAATTGTGAATTTATTTTTTATATCGTTTAATGTACTTTTTCGGAATACAAACTGATGTTCACAGTGTTAAAACCATTTATTAGAAAAAACATTTACTAGACTGGAAAAAATACATTTTATTCTTTAAGTCTTTGTGGCATAGTGTTTTTTTTAATAATAAGTTGTTATGTTTTTTATTATTTTTGTAGTATCTATCACCCCAATTAAAAATAATTTTTAACTGTTGTTTACAACAAAGGTAAAATTCATTGTTGAATTACACATCTTGTTTTTGCTTTAAAAATCAAATTGGTCATTTAATTAAAGATTATTATTATTTAACGCTTAGTAAATGGTGTTTTTCATTTTACACATAACTAAGTTATCGACAAAATTGAAATAACTTTTCAATTTTGTCTGTCTTTAAATAATTAAATAACAGAAATACAATATTTTTAATATTATTTGTAAACTTTATATACAATTCCAGTTGATTAATGACCACAAACGACAATGTTATTTTTAACTATCGATTATTACTTTTTGTGTAATTATTATGACATTTTGTTAAAACAATAAAAAATCAAATATAAACATTTATTAAACATTTCATATTATAACATCATATTTTAATATTATCAACCCGATAATAACAAATAACCAAAAGTAAATTATATATATTTAAAAAATTTACAAAATATTCAGTTTTTTCTCAACAAAATACCAAATCAAATACACGATTTCAAATATAATAACAGGATTATTTAAATATGAGATATTGAAGTATATGATTTCCACGTTAATTATCATAAAATAAACATAAAACATAAAACATAAAACATAAAACATAAAACATAAAACATAAAACATAAAACATAAAACATAAAACATAAAACATAAAACATAAAACATAAAACATAAAACATAAAACATAAAACATAAAACATAAAACATAAAACAATGACATATCAACAGCGAGCATTAGACATTGTTTTTGTATGTGACACAACAGGTTCAATGAGTCTATATTTATCAGCCGCACAAAAAATAAAACACATCAAAATTTTATTAACCAGTCTGAAAATGTGATGTTAGGGTTGCTCTTGAAAAGTATCGAGACCATCCACCAGAATACTCGTCATTTGCAACTCGTTTGACGGATTTCACATCTTCTATAAAAGAAATCAAAACTGCTGTTTCTCAAATGTCGCCGAATGGAGGAGGAGATGGTCCCGAGTCAGTCACTTGTGCTCTTGATGTTGCTTCTCGTTTGAACTATAGAAAGGAGTCTTCTAAAGTGATAATTTGGATTGCTAATGTCCCACTGCATGGGTTTTCAAAAAGTGGTGATAAATTTCCTAATGGATGTCCATGTGGAATTGAGTTTTTTGATGTTATCAGACGATGTCAAAAGAGCGGGTTAGTCATATACTCTGTTGCTGCAGAACCTCTTGGGTTTTCATATTCACGAAATTTGATGCGCCAGTCTCGTAATCGACGCATGGCCAATACGCTTCGCTCAATGGAGCTGATGTCTGCTGATTTGATTATTAATAAAGCAATTGAAGAGATACAAATCCAAAATTTGATGAATAAAAAATTTGTATGAAATTAACAAAGATGAGGCTTTCAATGATTTACCAAAACATATTAAATTGGCACTAGCAAAAGAAATGATCAAACAAAAAAAAGAATACAACTATAAAAACTTTGAAAATCGACACAATTTTTAAAGAACAACTTCCAAAAGTACCAAAATATTTTTTAGAGGCCACATCTTTTAAATCGCTTAAAATGGAAAAAGAAAAGGAGCCCGATAACAAAGTTACATTTAAAGATGGGTTTTATGTAAAATAAATACAATGAAATAATGTGGGACTGTGTTGGTAGTGATAATATTGAATGTAAAATAACAAAGAAAAATATCTGTGTAAAAATGAAACTAAAAATATTTGTAAAAAATAACATAAAAGATGGCAAAGCATCAGAGCAAAAAGTTTATGAAAAAGAACAAATGTTGGACGAAGAACAAGAAGAATAAATGTATGGCGGTTTTGGTGATTTTTTTAAATAAATCATCTTCATTTAAATTGAATTAATTGAAGTTTTCCAAAAAAAATCATTTTTTAAATAATAATTTAATAAAAATAAAGGATATGTTATATTTAAGAGATAATAAATTTGATGTCTGTATTCTTCTTATACAAGATTGTTACTTTCAGTTGTGAATACTAAAAATTTTATAAAGCATGAAGGTAGATTGTTAAAAAGGAAATGAAAAATTGGTTAAAAAATAAAATTGGTGCAAAGAAGTATTTTTAATTTTATACTGTATAAATACAAGTCAATAAATTAAATAATAGAAATTTTACTTTAAAAAATTCAAATATCATTAAGGTATAATTGTATACCAACGATATATCTAAGTACTTTATAACATACATATTTTTTTACCAATAATTGTATAATAATATTATTTTTATAATAGTTGTAAATATTCATTATTTTACATGTTTTAGATTGAGATGTATTATATAAAGTTTATTTAAAACATTTAAGTTGTTTTCAAATACAATTAAATATGTTATTCAAATGATATATCTCTAAAATAGTATAAAAAATATTATTTATATATTTTAAACGATTAATTTGTTTTGTACAAATATTTTATAAATGTGTAAATTAAAATTTTCTTTATTTTTTTTAATAAATATAATTTAATCAACTATCAAAGTTGGATTTATTAATTTAAATAAGAAATAGCCAAACAATTATTCTTATCAATCAATATCATTCAAATAAACAATTAACATTTTAATATAAATTAAATTGACTCTGATTTGTTATTTTCAACAAATGACAATGTGATTAAATCTTAAGATAAAAATTATTTGAATAAAAAAATACCAATTGGTAAATAATTATATTGTTTATTATTTTTTTCAGTAATTAATCAATTTCAATTACAACATTTTTTTTAGGTATTATTATATATAATTTATTTCACTTATTTAAATAGCTATTTATGTCATGTTGTCATTTTTGATATATGACAATGTGATTGTATCTCAAGATTGAGATTTGTAGAAAAAACAACATTTAAAGCACAAAAAATAATAAATTTTGTCATATGACCATGTATTGCTGTTGCTGCAGCAACACAGAGTCTGAGAGCTGACAGACTCGGGATTTGACTGTTGTCGTCCCAGACCAATTTGTGTAATTATGATGATTAATTAAATTGTGGTTAATATTTGAATATTATAAGCTTTGTACATAAGCTTATATATATTAGCCCAATAATGCACAAGGGGCTCTGTGCATTATTAAATAAAACAGCATGTTCAGAGTAATCATACCATGGGTGACGAAATAAACTTGTCTGTTTTATATTATTATATATGCTGATAATATGATGTTCTAAAACCGTCGCGACGTTTAAGAACATTTATACTTGTCATCTATCAATATTATATAATCCGTATATATGGGGGTATACGGATTATTATTTTTATTTTCTTATTTATTTATATGTGTAGTATCCGGGATTTATCCGTCCGGACACACTGCCAAGCCTTGGCAAGTGTGACCTGCAGTGTAACAACCTTTGAGTTGTTACCCAAAGACATTTTTGTTTTTGTTTGCGGGAGGATTCCCACGCTTTTTTATTTATAAACAATGGTGGTGTTGCCACACAACAAAAATAAAACACAACAATAAACATTTTTTTTAAAAAAAATGTAATTATGTTTATAACAATAAAATATATTAGCATGTAAACAAAAATTTTTGCTTTTAAGATAAACCACTTTACTGTTAAGCCTTTGAAAATGGCATTTTGTATTTTATATATATAAATATAATTATGACATTTTAAATTGATTTTAATTGATAATAATGATATACAAAAAGTTTAATTGTCGTGTTACAAATCAAAAATATGTAAATGTATAAAAATGATTAATTTTTATTTGACAGTAATATAAAAATATCATACTATTTAAATTTATTCAATATGGTTGAACCGAATAAATTTTTTATAATGTAATATTTTAAATAACAACTTAATCGTGTATAATTGTTCTATTTTTAAAAAATGATTACTTTTATAGATATCAAAACCTAAAAACTTTCAAATAAACAAAAAACAATTAAACAATTAAACAAAACAGTGAAAAATATTTTAATATATAAATTTAAAAAATTTTCCAATCAATTATATACAAAAACAACAATATTTATATTTAAAAAAATTAATATTTACTTATTTAGCAAAATAAAATCACATTTTTATTTCATTTTGCTTTAAAATTTGCAATTAATTGGACATTAAAATTATCATTAAAAACATAGAGTTTATTTCAAATAAACTTTTTAAACGTATAAATCTTAATTTTCAATATTAATATAGTTTACATAAACAATAATGTAATTTTTATGTATTTTATAAAAAGTTTATCTTCAAAATAAACACATTTTATTTTAAATAATATGTTGACTTATCAATAAAACTAATATATTATAAAGTTTTTATAATCTGAAAAATACAAGATAACGTTACAACGTAAGACTGAAATAATTTTCGAAATTATTAATAGTACAATCATTTATTTAACACAATCAAACAAGAAAAAATAAAGGGTATGGTAATTTTTGTTTTCTCAAGAGTTTGCATTTTTAAACTTAAACATGAAATAGCTATTCTTTTAAGAAGTTTTTAATGGGTTGATTGTTTTATAATACTTCTTCAAAGAACCCACTTTTAAAAGTACTACTTTTATAAATTTTAAATTTAATGTTGATTTGTCGTTGTTAACTTCAATTTCTAACACATAGACGCCAATCTTTTTTTCTTTTCCAAAGTCGCAATTGAAATATGCAAACTTTGTCATGATAACATCGAAGATATCTCTCACGAAGATCACTATTTTGTCGCGAACGCATATAAAAGTACGAAAAAAGGTTTAACAATTTGTGTTTGTTTCATCCTTTATGAATTATTAAATCAACTTCTGTGTTATTTGTGTGATAAAATTTAACCACGTATAAATAACATAGCAATACCATATTTTCACATTATCATTATGCGAGTCCACTAAAACAAAAGTATTTCCGAACAAAGCAACAACACAGCCTTCTTATTAATCATTTTAAAATATAATTATTTTTCTCATTTTAATCAGTTTTTTATTAATTAATTTGATTTTTGGTTTAAAAAATAATAGATACTATTATAATTATTTAAAAAATCAACAATTTTTACAAAGTAACTGTTTTATATACTCAACAGCATTATCAAATGCAATTTACATATGGGTATTAAACTGATTTATAACTCATGTTAACCCAGTTTGAAATTTTAATATTTTTTTAATAAATAATATTACAACAAACTGCAATGATTGATACTTATTTAATGGAACATGATGAGGTCAATAAATGGTGTTAATAAGTCTGTTTAATGATTTTGTAAAATAAAACAGAACAACAAAAGTTTAAATTAGATGTAGAGAAACAACGACAAATTTTTTTAATTTAAAACTTGATCGTTTATATAAATTTGTATTTATTGGTAATTGGTGTGTAATTGATAATTTAATAATATAGTTTGTTTTATAATATTTAAAATATTTAAAATTAAGTAAAACTTCCAAAAAAATTAAAAGAGTATTTAAATACACTTTTAATAAGAAATCTTTTATTCAAGTGTTAATGTTACTTAAATTCGACATTAAAAAAGACAATTTAATTTATGCAACAAAAAATATATTAAATAAACAAAAAATTATAATAAAAAAGAACTTTCATATCACTTTCAAAATTAGCGGAATTAATTTTTTATGTAAAAAATTAATTCTTTGATTGAAAATATAAAAGAATAACGATAACGTGTTTCATAACAACATTAATGATTTTCGAAGTATCAAACTGAATGCAATAAAGACTACATTCAATCGCAAATTCGGTATATCTAACGTTTTTGCGAAGGTTAAAATAATAATAAGTTAACCAACTTAAAACGTTGTGTTAATTTTAATTTAATCATTGCTTTTATACCATTAATACCCTAACCCTATTTTATTATGATTAAATTAAATTATTAATTCAATCAAATACACAGTTAGCTGGGTTTTATATAAAACCTTTTTAGTATTTTTTCAACTAATTAATTTATAATTATTTTTTAATATAAAAATTAACTTGTAATAGTTAATTTATTTATAATAAAATAGTAATAAATTAATGTTGATAGTTATTTAATAATATAATAATTTAATTCCAATTTTTTAAATTATTTTTGTTTTGTTATTTATTATAATAAAATTATATAAATTAATTCTAAATGTAATAGTTCACCATAAATAATCTTGTCAAATAATTTCAAAATTAATAACAATAATAAATATTATTAAACATATATTAATTTAAAAAGTCATTCATAAATTTTAAAAATAGTAGTATTTAATATTATTTAGATGATATTTAATACTATAATTATATCAT